TAGGGGGGGTAATTAATTAACGGCTATTGAGCACACCCCATTCCTCTAGGATTACAGGAACACAGATACCACTACCCAGAGAGAAAGAACAATTCATAACAAGAGATAAAATTGCTGAAAAGAGGCAGAAGATTATAAAGAGAAGCTCTTTGTAGAACCATCTCCCTGGTTTATTAACAATCCCCATTAGATCAAAATTGTGAAAAACGGGCAAAACGCTTTTCTGACACAGTCAAAAGTGTGAAAAGGAATTCACCAAGGAGAAGTGCTGGGGTGCAGAGTTTGGTGTTGTGGTGTCAGGGGGGAACAGGACTCGGGAAGGAGGAGAACAGAAAGAGGATCTGCTGGGGAGTTCCTGTGCTTTTGGTGACTCCCAGGATTTTGGGGTGTGGGGAAAAGGGTCCCACAAGCTTTGATTCTGAAACTCAGCCAATTATTGTGTATGACTGAGGTTTGGGGAAAGAAAGGGATGTTAACAGCCTGCATGGAGGAGGAATACTGCATCCTTGAGAAAAGCAGATTGGAATGTAGAATTGATAACACAGGTGGCTGGAAATTATAAACATTACTAATACTGCAGCTTTTGCAAACTCACCAATTATGTTCTAATTACTAATTAAACAGCTGTCTCTTGACCAATGTATGTTTGACACAAATGCATACTCTGGTTGCTAAAGTGGATAAAAGAGGTTTGTCCCACAATAAAGTCCTTCTTTCTTTCTGTTTTTTCACCCATTTTTGTGTGTTTTTGTATCTATTCTTTTTTGTCACTCTTTGGCCAGCAGCACCATTGGGGTTTCTGTGCTCTGTCTCCCCTCCCCGTAAAGTTCTTCTTTCTTTCTGTTTTTTTTTTCACCCACTTCTGTGTGTTTTCTATTCTTTTTTGTCGCTGTTTGGCCAGCAGTGCCATTGGGGTTTCTGTGCTCTGTCTCCCCTCCCCTTAAAGTATTTCTTTCTGGTTTTTTTTCACCCATTTTTGTGTGTTTTCTGTCTATTCTTTTATGTCACTCTTTGGCCAGCAGTGCCATTGGGGTTTCTGTGCTCTGTCTCCCCTCCCTGTAAAGTCTTTCTTTCTCTCTGTTTTTTTCACCCACTTTTGTGTGTTTTCTATCTATTCTTTTTTGTCACTCTTTGGCCAGCAGTGCCATTGGGGTTTCTGTGCTCTGTCTCCCCTCCCTGTAAAGTCTTTCTTTCTTTCTGTTTTTTTCACCCATTTTTGTGTGTTTTGCATCTATTCTTTTTTGTCACTGTTTGGCCAGCAGTGCCATTGGGGTTTGCTGTGCTCCATCTCCCTCCCCGTAAAGTCTTTCTTTCTGTTTTTTTCACCCATTTTTGTGTGTTTTCTATCTATTTTTTTTGTCTCTGTTTGGCCAGCAGTGCCATTGGGGTTTCTGTGCTCCATCTCCCTCCCTGTACCTGTTTGAGGATCTCAGCTGCTGTTTCGTGTGAGCAGTCGAAGATGACATAAAACTCTTTGCCTTTCTTCATCTCCTTCAGCAGGGGCCTGGCGTCCTTGTTCCCCGCGGGCAGCTGCCGGATCTTGATTTTGATGTTGTACCTGGAAGGGGCTTTGATCAGCTCCTGCAGGCGGATCAGACCTGGGAAAGGACAGGGATGGTGGATCAGGACCCTGTGCCAGCGGGGTTATTGTCACCCAAACTGTTCACACCCTCCCCATTCCCTGGG